CTAGGCCCCAACTATGGCCCATCTATGGCCCAATTTTCCAAATTGGGCCCAATCCTTCATATGGGCCTTACCCTAAAGCCCAACTAATTACTCTAGTCCATTTGATTATTCTCGGATGGCCCAATACAAAGCCCAAGTGAAATTAGGGTTTCACATCAAATGATAACTATGGTTAAGTGTTTCTTACTTAACCCACTAGGGACTTAATCCGTTAAGGACTTAATCCATTAAGTCCATTATTGCTTAGATTAATTTCTGCCAATGATTATTATTTAATATTTCACTTATTAGATAATTCTCGTGTGCCCTGATAAATTCCCAAATATTAATATTTTCTCAATTAACTCATTAAGGACTTAGTCCATTAAGTTCTTTACTCTACTTAACAAATGACATGAATAAGGTTGGGCTTAATTCGCAATCTAATCCCAATGGCCCAAAAGTAGGTCCAATAAAAGTCTAAGGCCCAATTACTCACAATTAGGGTTTTCCACTCAAACATGGCCCAATAGGCCCAAAATGAATCTTTAAGCCCATTAAGGTTTTGGCTAGGTCCATTAGGGTTTTGCTTGAGGGGCACCACCCACTACCACTTCGGGTAGTGGTGGTCTATGGCGGCTTACAGCGGCGGCCACCACCTTACGGTGGTGGTTGTTATTATTTTCATTAATAATCCAAGCTAATTACAATTACAAGTTTTACTCCAAAACTAACACACACACACACACACACTAACTAACTAACTAAGCTAACCACATACACAACCACACCATGGTGGCCGCGGCGATGCTTGGCGGCAGCCACCACCTCACAGTGGTGGCAGCGACTTTTCCGGCCAACAAGCTACACACAACACAAAGTATAGAAAGAAAAAACACCCACACTCTTTTCTTGCTTGCAACCAGGTCCAACCACCCTCCTGGTGGCGAATGGCGACAGCAACACCATAGAAAGGTGGCAGCGGCGGTCTTGACGGCGTTAGGCAGCAGCACACACGAAGGGGGTGGTCTTTAGGAGCTCGCTCCCAGCGACAGCAAGCCAATAGTCACATGAATCTCGAAGCAACATCACACATCCACCCAAACTCGCAGCCACCACCCACGGCGGTTGGTGGTGACGAGATAAAACAGCGACAGCCGGCAGAATAAGAAGAAGGAGGCATGGAGGGACTATGGAATATCAACGAACTGAGGGAGAGAAAAGAATGGAGTGAAGCAGGTGCGACGGATATGAACTGCTCCTCCGTCACCGACTGACGTAGCACCGGAAGCAGTCACGACTTCCACAATCCACACTCTCCTGCTCCTCCCGATTAACACGACATTGATGCATTGATCTTCTCTTCACCGGTACACTAATTGTTGACAGCAGAGGGGAGATGGCAGCGCTAGGTCGGAGATGAAGAAGGAAGTGAATGGCGGCTGGAGGGAGGCATAAGGTTGGCGGCCGCTTCTTGCTTAGGGTTTAAGATGAAATGAGGTGGGGAAGGGATACGGGTATATCCCGTATCTCATTTCAACATATGATATGATTTTTCAACTTCAGACCCTCTACCCTTATTTGTTTACCTTATAAACCCTAACTTTCAAAACTCTTTACAATGAAGTCCAAAATAACCATTTAACCCTTACTTCTCATAATCTATCCATCTCAAGTCTCGATAATTTACCACGTGGTCCTTACCTTCATAAATATTTATAAGACTAATCCGGAACTGACACTTTTAATCTCCGACTTCTAAAATTCTTCACAAATTATTCTGAGACTTATATTTATTAATTTATTTAAATAAACGGGGCGTTACATATATACTGAGTTAAATGTTCTTTCCAAAAAGTATGTTTTGTACTAGAAAATAGTATGTTGTACTTGTATGTTATGACCTGACCCATACATGTTTCTCCTATAATTACTTAGTCTCTACAAGTCATATATAACTAAGATTGAATAGGTAGTAAACTGTGTGAATCTGCTCTAAACCCACAACCAAACAAGGAACAGAAAATGAAGCGAAAACACCCATTCTACAGTCTATCGGATCCTATTTATATATAACCATGATGTAAAAACCAAGGGATCATAGAATCAGCATTATGGATCCTTTAAGTTCTACTAGTTTTTAAGCCTTGGTTTGTAGTCTTATTATTAAATAAAACCCTTTGAAGTTACGTTTAAATTCAAACACTAATCGTATTGTTAATACCAAATTGTGAGTTCTTATAACCATACTAATTGACGGAAAACCTGATACGACGTTCTTCAGGGGTCGGAACCATTAATGACATTTGTCACCCCAGAACTTCCGTTCCAACTGTAGCTAACAATTAGGGTGTGAGATTGTCAGTACCGTATATACACAAACTCACGCTCTCCCTCCAAGAGACTCTGGTTATAAGGTCACGACTTTTGTTGGCATTTAGATAAGTACTCAAAGGTAACTCTCACAAAGCTATATTTACGGTTATATGTGGAATCATGAAAAGCCTTTTTATTTATTATTATAAATAGTTTGGAATATCCTTTTCATAGTTAAAACCTTAGTTTGAATGTCCCTTAAACTATACCTATTATAGTCTATATGCATGTTGTGAATGAAATGAAAATCTTGGTACTTTAACAGTTTGTATAACACAATGACATACTTGAGAAAGATACACTTTTGCTCGACATGTTACAAACGGGTTAAGCTTTATTTAAATACGTTTCATGTTCATATATATATATATATATATATATATATATATATATATATATATATATATATATATATATATATATATATATATTTGAGATCAATCAGGCAGTCAGACAAGTGATTCTATCCCTAGTCCACAACCAAACAAGGAGCAGGAGCTAAGGTGAAAACACTAATCCTAAGCCTGTTGGACCTTAATTATATATATATATATATATATATATATATATATATATATATATATATACACACACACACACACACATGTATTTTGCAAAAATAAAATAAACGTATAAAACAATTGAAGTAGTTTGAATCACTTTTTAAAATAGTTTAAATCTATTAAAATAGCTTGACATGTTTTAAAACTGTTTGAAATCATTTGAATGCTAGCACAAGATTTCCTTGTGTTTTTACTTGGATCCCCCTTTACAAACATTGAAACATAAAACATTGAAACATAGTAAAAACATAGGGGGAATGAACTCATCTCAAATGTGTGTGCTTGATCGGACTTGAAGTGATTGCAAATGATCGCCTAGTTAGAATACGTGACATAAGTCTAGTAATAGTTATACACGATATCGTATTTAAATTAATAATATATTAATTTAAAGTGTTAGACAACACTAAAATATTTAAGAAATACTTACAATAGCCTTAGGAATTAATTGGAATGAATTCTAGGCGCTTTCGGTGAGCAAATGGGGGTTTTCGGTCAAGACTTGAAGACTTGAAGATTGTTCTTGGTGAAAAGGGAAGGAGATTCAAAGAAAAAATGGGTAGGACCTTATGAGTATTGAGAGCAAAATGGGAAGGAATTCGGTGGGAAATGTGAGAAATGAGATTGAATTCGGTTGAACATAAATATATATGGGTGAGAATTCGGTTGATATGGGCTAGATTATGTGTGTGTTCGGTCCTAATGGGCCATTTCCTTTGAGAATTCGGTCATGCCAAGACCGACTTGACGTCTTGGTTGATTTCTAAGGCCGAATTCCCCCTTTGTTGTTTGACTTGAAACCGAATTCACTCTTTATTGGATTTCCATGACCAAAATCACCTATTTAAGGTGTTAATTTATGTTATAAGCTTTTTTCTTTTGATTTATTTTACTTTATACTATCCTAAATTAACTTAGGGTTCAATCCATGCTTAGATATTAGCTTATAAACAAGCTTTAACGACTATGGAGTTAGGGTTTTGGTTTTACTAGGTCTAAAATTTCTGAGTTGCGACAAAAGTGGAGCAATTCATGGCATTTGTGAAGATTTTTGATTTGGGAATTGTAAATCACTGATTAACCATTTGTGGTATTAGAATTCCTAAACTAAAAAAATTAATATATTATTCACAATTCACAAAGTGACAAAATTAATAAAATCAAGTAATGGAGTAATATACCTATTGTGGGCAAATCCCAAAATGGTTATAATATGCATATATGATCGCCGCTTTGAATGAAGTTGAACCCTTCATGCGTCTATGAAAACTGTTCCGCTGTTCGTGAGGCACCTTAACAGCTTAACTTCATTTTTTTTTTAAATTAATTTAATTTGTATTTGGTTATACGTATTGGATTATATCCTAAAAGCATTGGGCTACTAAAACATAGAACAAGGGCTCTAAATATCTAATTTATTATTATATGTATTTTTGTCAAAAAGTATTTAGATGGTTCATTCATATTTTAAAGGTATGTCCCACTAAGTTATTATATATAATTTGTAATATAAAAAAAATGGGTCAAGTGACCCACCAAATATGTATATAAACTCGTACTGGGCAATTGAAATCTTAACGACTTAACTGGAATAAAAATTAATGGTGTCAAAATAGCAAAAAAAAAAAAAAAAGTGGGGGTGAATTTTGAAATAGATATTTGAAAGACAAAAGATAAAATTTTGAAATACGTAATCAAATAGAAGGGTTATAAATGCATATTACGTAACAGGTTTGTTGTAATCAAAAAGTAAAATTTGACAAAATAAACAGAATCAAATCACCTCCTCACAGTTCAATTGGAATTTTTTTATCTAGAATATAGAGAAAAAAAAAAAAAGGAAAAAGAATCTCACTTTATGTAAGATAGGGAGCACCGTTGTATTTTTATCTCGCCATGCATGCTGTTTCCCGAAGTGTGTTTCTCGCTGGGAATGCTTATTTATCTTTAGTTAATGTTCTAAATTTTGAAGAGGCAAATTTGCGTCATTACATTAAGGTGAATTCATAGATGGATGTTGGTCATACTGGCTATATTTGTGAAGTCTCTTTTTAAATTTAGGTAACGAGTAAGTAAAGGTAGATGACTATGAATCGAATATGGGGATTGCTGGTGGTTTTGGTTTTCTTCAATGGATGTTTCCTTGACGATGTGAAGAGGCAGACATACGCCCAAGCTCGGGTACAGGCTTCAAACTTCTGTTTTGGCATAAAGAATTAATGATTTCCTTTTATTAGCGTTGTGGAAACCGAGTATTTTATTATTTCAGATTTCTGCATCAAACAAGCTCAGGGATACTAATGTTCATTCGAGACCAAAAGTTGTAAAAATCGGGTCTGTTTTGGCCTTCGACTCGATTGTAGGCAAAGCTGCAAAAATTGCTGTACAAACTGCAGTAAAAGATGTGAATTCTGATCCAAGTGTTCTTAATGGAACCAAGTTGGAACTAACTATTCATGACTCCGGTTCTAGTGGCTTTGTGAGTATTATAGAGGGTATGACTTCTAAATATTTTTCCCATCTACTTATTCGCTAATGTTTCTATTTGTATTGGGATTCATAGACATAAAAAATATAGGAAAATGATTTATAAGGGTAATCATAAAAAATATAGGAAAATGATTTATAAGGGTAATGAACTATTTGATTTTGTTTATATTTAGTTACTTTTTTTTTACATCATATATTATCCAACTTGTGGAACATGTTCACATTTTATCGTTGTGACCTGCTATAGTAGGTAAAAGTATAATATTTAAACAGTTCAACAAGTTAGAATAATATAAAATATACAAAAAGAAAAGGAATAATGTTAAAAAAAAACATTTCCCACCTACACCAAAACCGCCTCTACCACCTCCGCCACTATCACCACCACCACCGCCTCCGTCACCACCTCCATGTTTACCTCCACTATTGCCTCGGCCTCCACCACCACTGCCTACGTCACCGCTGCCTACGCAGGGCTTATTGAGATTTGAAAAAAAAAACAAATATTGATTTTGAGATTTGTAATACATACATATATATATATATATATATATATATATATATATATATATATATATATATATATATATATATATATATATATATATATATATATATATATATAGGGCTGTAAATGAACTAAACGAACACGAACAAGGTCTTGTTCATGTTCGTTCGTTTAAGTTAGCTGAACAACAAACGAACACGAACGGAAAACGAACGAGATTTTCTTGTTCATGTTCGTTCGTTTAACAAATTACTTTGTTCATGTTCGTTCATTTATGTTCGTGAACATGCTAAACGAACATAAACGAACAAATATAAACGAACAAAGATAAAAAAAAAAAAAACACAATTGAACATGTAAGAACATAAACGAACATATAATATAGCAATATAATAAAATATAATTGAATATAGATGAATATAAATAAACTTAAACGAATGAATATAAACGAACGTAAATGAACATCATAAACGAACGTTCACGAACATAAATGAACGAACAAGACCATTGTTCATGTTCGTTCATTTGTTAAATAAACGAACATAAACTAACTTCCCGCCGAACAGTTCACGAACGGTCAGTTCGTTTACAGCCCTATATATATATATATATATATATATATATATATATATATATATATATATATATATATATATATATATATATATATATATATATATATTAGTAATCATGACTTAACTTTCTCTTTTTTTGGTAATTGTGGAATTTTTTTTTTTTTTTTTTTTGAAAGATATTTAGATAACTAACTAAAATCAACTTCAAAAATTTGTTTTATGAATACGATGAAGAAGGATGAAATTGTTGATTTATAACACTTCCATTACACATAAAATATCCATAACCAAAAAGGCAAATACATGAAATTAGGAATGGCAGCAGCACCAAATGGGGCTGAAATAACCGCCCCGCCCTCTCCTACCCCTGCCCTCGAATTCGCCTTTTTCCTCCGACACTAAATTGAGTAAATTTCCGGTTTCCCCGTCCCCGATTACACAATGATTACTCTAAGTTTAATATTTATTTTTTAAAATAAAAGAGTTAAATATAGGTAATTATTTCGGGCCCCGCAGGTTATTTGGGAAGCAATTCCCTACCCCGCCCTTGAAAACTAAACGGTTGTAAAAACTTGTCGGCGATCCCAAAAACAGTGTAAAAGTACCCCCATACGGAAATGGGGTCACGCAGGGTCGGGCTGTCGGGGTCATGTGGGGTCCGGGTCCCAAGGGGGTTTGACATCCTAATGAAAATATTCATTGAGAGTTTCAGTAATACTATGGCGTATCTTTGAGGTCAAGTCCGGTGGAAATAAGTTCCCAATCCACTATCCACTAGTGTTTATTGTTAATGTCATCAAATTGTTTTCATTAGTTATGTTCATCTACACATTCATCAACAATATTCTCTTTAATAAATAAAAATAATTTTGTCCCTTATCATTCTCTTATGCATTATATCATATGTTATTTTATAGTAAATTTAAATTAAATTATATCCTTGTATCATATGGTTTTTTTGGATTTTATTAAATTTGATATAATATATAAATGTAATATATATCTAATTCATTAATATAACTTTTTTTTTTTATGATTTTAAATTTTTTAAATTGAATTCAATTATTTTAGTTATTTATTTATTTAAATTATTAATTTAAATTTAAAGATAAATAAATACTTCAATTTTAATAATTAATATTTTACTTTTTTTTCTTATAAATTTTAATTTTTTAAATTGTTAGATATTTATGTTTGTTTAATTTTTAAGTAACCATGGCATGAAATACATGGTGTGGCACCTAGTTTACTTATAGAGTTCTAACCTTATTTCCATTTGATGCAACAGCTTTGCACTTCACGTCGAGTGAAACTGTGGCGTTAATAGGACCAGAATCATCGGCTTTGACTCTTATGATATCCTACATCGTGAAAGAGCTCCAAGTTCCTCTACTATCTTTCAGAGCCACTGACCCTACATTGTCTTCACTTCAATGTCCGTTCTTTATCCGAACAGCTCACAGTGACTTTTTCCAAATGGCCGCCATAGCAGACATAGTCGGGTATTATGGATGGAGACGAGTGATCGCTATTTACATAGATGATGATCATGGTAGGAACGGAATAACTTCATTAGCAGATCAATTCGCTTCCAAAAGGGGTAAAATCTCGCACAAAGCGCCAATCAAACCCAATGCTACACGTAAAGACATACAAGATGTTTTGCTTCAGGTCTCGTTCATGGAATCAAAAGTTCTTGTTGTTCACACTAACACCAACTGGGGATTACATATACTTGATGTTGCTAAAGATCTTGGTATGATGGAGAGTGGGTACGTTTGGATCACAACCGATTGGCTTTCTACGATCATGGACATAAGCTCGCCACCTAGGAAATCTTTTGCTGCTATGCAGGGAGTTATTACATTGCGATCATACATAAAAGATTCAGAACGTAAAAGGAAATTTATTACCAAATGGAAAGACTTAACTACGTATGGCATGAGTACGTATTCTCTGTACGCATACGACACTATTAGGCTCCTTGCTCGTGCTCTTGATGATTTCTTTGATCATGGTGGAAAACTTTCCTTCTCCAAAGGTCGACCTAATCAAGCGAAGGACTCACAAGGTGGATTATTGAATTTCAATTCATTAACCGTTTTTAATGGTGGGAAAATCTTGCTTGAAGACATCTTGAAAGTCAAAATGAACGGAGTTACAGGACCAATGGAATTCACTTCCGACAGAATGCTGGTTTTTCCTGCATTTGAAGTTATTAATGTGATGCGTAATGGATTTAGGAACGTTGGATATTGGTCAAACTCCTCACGTCTGTCCATTTCTCCTCCAAAACCACCCAAAACGAACCAATCTAATTCAACGCAGCTGCTGAATACCGTAATTTGGCCAGGTGAAACAGTTGATAAGCCTCGCGGATGGATGCTTCCACGGAATGGAAAACAAACGAAAATTGGGGTTCCAGTTCGAATCAGTTTTCAAGATATCGTGAAAGAAATCCAGGGGACGAATAGGTACATGGGATACAGCATCGATGTGTTTGTCGCTGCGATAAACTTGCTACCATATGCTGTTCCATATCAGTTCTATCCCTACGGAGATGGTCGTCAGAACCCTAGTTACACTGATCTCGTGAGTTTGGTCAATGCTGGTGTGAGTGCTCTTTTCTTCTTCAATCTTTTGTATTTAAAGCTTTTTTTTTTTGGGTCTTTACGCTAATGACTGTATAGGTTTATGATGCTGCGGTGGGTGACATTGCCATCATCACTAACAGGACAAGCATGGTGGATTTTACTCAGCCGTATATTGAGTCTGGTTTAGTTGTGGTGACACCGGTGAAGAAGCTAAGCTCTGGAACTTGGGCAATTTTCAAGCCATTCACTGTTGAATTGTGGGGAGTTATTTTGATATCTTTTTTAGTTGTGGGAGCAGTTGTTTGGATTCTAGAACATCGCAGAAACAATGATTTTCGTGGTACTCCTAAACAACAGTTTGGCACAACCCTATGGTAAGTGTGTGTGTGTGTGTGTGTGTGTGATTGGTCTACACAAGTTAGCATATATACGTCCTTCTTTTGATTCTCTTCTCCCACAATCAAGCTGGAAAGATGAACATGCATACCCCTTGATTAAACACAGTTCCAAAAAAGTATGTTCCCTACTAATAAGATCCATTAATGCAAATCATGTTTTGAAACATTATTCAACCGCATTAGCATTTGTTATACTGGATACTTTGGTTAATTTCTCACTAACAATATTTGTGTTGTGTTCTTGCAGGTTTATCTTTTCTACCCTATTTTTCACCCACAGTAAGTAGCTCTACATGAAACCAACTAAGGTGTAATTTATTTTTGACTTGATGGATTTAACTTATGAAAGGGTGTTTCTATTTTACTTCTATTTCTTCTTACATAATTGTACGTTGACAAAAACTCTCCAATGATAGAAACATCATCCAAATACAAAACATGGATGGATGAGTGTGCAGAAATAATGACTTAAAAAAGAATGCCAAGCTAGGTTGATATTTTTTATAAAATAAATGAAATTACATTTTTCTTTCTTGCATTTAGCCCTTGAATTAACTCTTATGCAGATATAATGACTTAAAAAAGAATGCCAAGGAAAAGTGGTTTTTCTGTTAACTCCTATTTTTTTTATAAACTTTCTATCGTTTACTGTTTTCATTCCATTTACCCAAGTGTTCCGTAATTTTCTCAAATTCTTTTACACATCATTATCCAGAAGAACACTTATGGGGTCTTGAAAAGCCAATAAGTCACATAAAATGTTTGGCAAACTCAAAAACGTTTTTCAAAATATCTTTTCCATTATCTTCAAAATTGAGACTTTAAAAAGCAATGTAAAACCTGACTCTTTTTAACTCTTTATAACTTTTTAACCACAATAACTTTAAAAAAGAGATTTTAAACCAAACACTTTTGAACTTCTCAACTTATTGGCTTTTTCCACCAAAAAAAACTAATCCAAACATTTAAAAAAAAAAAAAAAAACTCTTTAGCATCAGTATAAGTCAATAAACATTTTTGCCTAAAAACATTGTTAGAGATTAAAAAGAAATCCCAAACACCCTTTTAAATAATGGGGGAAAAGAAGCACATTGGCCTTAATAATCTTTCCTCCTCCCACGAGGGGCGTTTTACCCCTTTTGACACACATTTTACTTCCTTTCACGATTTACTTCTATATGTTACAAACTTAACCATGGTTGATGCAGAACAAAGCATGAAGAGTACTCTTGGTCGTTTGGTAGTCATTCTATGGTTATTTGTGGTACTAATAATCAGCCAAAGTTATACCGCAAGTCTCAGTTCAATATTGACTGTTCAAAAACTTTCTTCTCCTATTGATGGAATTGAAAGTCTTATTCCAAGAAAAGATCGCATTGGATATGGAGCACGTTCATTTGTCCGAGACTATTTAGTCAAAGAAATTGGCATTTCTGAAGCTAGACTTGTTCCTCTTGAGTTGCCAGAAGACTATGAAAAAGCTTTAAGTGATGGTCCTAATAATGGTGGTGTCATTGCAATTGTTGATGAACGTCCGTATATTGAACTTTTCCTTTCGACCCGTTGCCAGTTCAGCATTGTTGGTCCAGAATTCACCAAAAATGGATGGGGATTTGTAAGTAAAGTTCTCATTTTCATGTTATATGATGTGTTTGACTTCTATAGTTAAACCAAATCATTTTTACACTTTAAGGTTGATATGAAGAAGTTTATAGTCCCAAAATCTTTTCTACAACTTCAACTTCGTAACAAGTAACATATTTATTCATAAATGTTAAATTTCAAATCATAAAAGTTTTTATGTTTAATCTCCATAGTGACACCCATGTATGTTTACCCATTTCATTTATTTGTATATTATAGCATCCTAATTTCATTTTCGTCTGTTACATCCCTTTATGTTAATTTTTTCTTATTTTGGCTGTGTACTATGAAAATTCTGTCCAATTACATTGTTATATTTCCATTTTTTTCTTAACAAATTAAACTTTGAAAAATCTACCCAATTATAATGGTGGAAGTTGGTTTCTATTTCTATGATATTGGTATAAATATGTAGATTGTTCAAAATAGGGTCCTTTAATAACCTCAATTTTGATATGAACTAGTTGATTTCCCACCATCAAATAACTCCATTTTTTGACCAATATTAGAATCAAATCATAATTTTCTTTGTGTTTATGGTTCTTTATAGGCCTTTCAACAGGGTTCTCATCTTGCAACAGATGTATCAAATGCCATTCTCAAACTATCTGAAACCGGAGAGTTACAAAGGATTCACAACAAATGGCTATTACAAAGTGCTTGCAGTTCACAAGGAAGAGAGTTATCAGTGGACAGGTTGGAGCTAAAGAGGTTCAAAGGCCTATTCTTTATAATTGGATTAGCTTGTGTTCTTTCTCTTTTTGTCTACTTAGTGCCCACCATATATCAGTATACCAAACGCAAACCAGACTCATCTGTATCATCTGGACCAAGACACATGCAAACGTTCATTTCATCCATTGATGAAAAAGAAGATTCGGCTATTGCTCATTCCAAGAAAAGGATTAGAGAGACAAGTTCACTTGAGAGCAACAGAGATCAGATGATGCATCTGTGAATGCCGAATGAATTTCTGGGAAAGAATCATCTTTAAACACAGTATATTAGTCAAAAGAAGGGCATTTATTTTATATACAATAAATGTGTTTATTCCACCTATGATGAGTATAGTCCATGTTCCAGTTTGCGCAAGTCAGGAAAGTTCCTTTCCCTTGTATAAATAGAATAATTTTACTAATAATAAATGGTTTATCATTTATATTGCTTATTGATTTATAGTTCATAATATATATGGTTCACCATGGTTCGTGATGGTAAACTATAAACTGTATGAACCTTCTCTAACCATAGCTTACAAGTTGTTTTCTATTTTTTTCCTTTTAACCTATTATAGCACCTTTCTAAGTTTCCAAGATACCAAGAAATAATATTTTCAAAAAAACCCTTTAATTTACAATTCTTTTCATGTTTTTATCCTAAATATATATTTTTTATCTTAAACGTATGAACGTTCAAAAAAACATTTATACACAATTTTTTTTAATTAAAAATTCAATTTAGCGTTCTTTTTTAATGATATTTCTTTGAACAAATTACTGAAATTGTCCCCGTAGTTTGCTTTAAGTTCACGTTTGGTTTCTATTTTTTTTTTTTTCACTTAGACATTCCGTATAATTTGTTTTGGTTGTGCTTTTGATAGGAAATAACTTTTTTGCCTTTATATGTTTTTTAGTTTTTTTTTTGTTTATTATTTACATTTAAAAAAAAGTAAATTAACTAATTTATCATTTTGTGGAACCCAATGCAACTCTCACTCCCACATATGTAGTTCTGTTTGTTTTTTGGAAAAAAAAACCTCTTCAGACCTTTAATTACTGCGCGTTGCAGCACACGCGCAACACTTTTCATCTCGCAACTGTTTGTTTTTCAGAAATCTTCAGAGTCAAAAACCTCTGCACATGCTCTTTTTTGCGCAACACTTGTACTGCCTCTTCCAACATTTTCTTCTTCTTTTTTTCTTGCTGAAATTTTGATTATATGTTGTTGAAATTTTATTTCACCTTTTTTTTGTTTATTCTTGTTGAATATATTTTCATTTTTTTTATATTGAATAATGATAAGTTTTTAATAAAATATCATTATTTTTACGAAAATATCTTTATTTTTTTGTTGAAATATTATTATTTTTTATTAAAATATCATTAATTCTTGCCGAAATGTTATACATTGTTAAGTTTTCCGTATTAAAAAACTATTTTCAGTTTATAAAATTAGTTCATTTTAATTTTTTAATATCTGTAGCAGTATGCAGACGTTAAAAAAACAAACATGCTTTTTATTACAGTCTGCAGCCGTTTGGTCCACCTCTTCTACTGCAGAGGTGGTCCACAGATTTCATGAATTTTTGCTTCAAAAAATCAAACAGCACCGTACTGTCTCAACCTCTCTTCAGGCGATCTCTTAGCTACCAATATATCTCCGATGAACCAATCTACACCATCATTGGCACACACCGACTACCCTTCTACACCACCATCGACATCATCTCCCTCCCCGGCAAAATCCATATATGACACCACTTCACGTCCGGTTTGCAACTATGTGCTCCAAAGAATCGTCAACTGCCACTGGTGAGAAAACACAACCGGTGATCTCCTCCCTTTTTACCCATTTCATTCTCCGTTCCAGAAAGGTCATACATGTACTCCGCAGAACACTAGACCACCGACATCCAATGCTTTCTATGTTCCAGAAACGCCACATACGTCGATGCCCTCTGTTCAAGAAACACCACACATGAATCCCATTCCCCTCCTTTTATCGTCTCTAACTGAAGCAACCCTTTAGCACGTTGGATTCGTCTTCATCTCGATTTCCCTTTTGATTTCGTCTTTTAATTTTTAGGTATAACCAAATCTTGAAATTAACCTGCAAACAAATCATGTTCATGGATGTTCGACCCCACATGTTTGATTTGATGAAGCTCTGACTGTTTGAGATGAGATGAGAGCTCCCTTTCTTTGAAATCGATAAACCTGCAAACCCATCGACAAAAATAGGTTCATCTATTGAGAAACCTGGAAACATATCGATGGATCTCTTCTTTGATTCATCTGTGCCGGTAGGGTGGGGTCTCTCTCCAGAGAAGTGGCATAGGGTGGGGTTTCTCTCCGGAGAAGAGGCAGGTTGTTGGCAAGATAGGAGAGTGTGGGTGGTGTAAAAAAGGGATGTGTAGGGTTTATTTCCTTTGTCTTATTTTAATATTATTAATAATATAATAAACAATAAATCAAAAAATGAAAGAATAATCTGTAAGGATAAATTAGTCTTTTTACATCAAGCAGGATGAAAAAAGCAATTAAAATAAACTATAGGGACGGTCCGACTGCAAAAGAAATTTTAGGGACCAAACATGAATTTTTTGGAAACCACGGGGACCATTTCAATAGTTTGTTCTATTTTTTTATTACGAGTTTTTTTCTTGTTTATATGATTTGAAATGTAAAAATATATTTTAAAAAAGATAAATACATATTTAGAAGTATATCAATTAAAAAATGTGTTTATATTCAAAAAAATATATCAATACTTCTACGAACATAAAAATACATTTGTGAGTGAGTTTGTCTTTAGCTATATATTTCTCATTTGCCGCTCTAATCTTCCGGCACATCAGCGCAACGGGAGAGTTATAATCATAAATGTGTATTCCCTTGCCACCTTCCCCAGCACCACAACTGCCACCACCACCACCATTACCACCACCTCTACCACTAACACTAACCGACCCCATCCTTGCCACCTCCGTCTCCTATACCACGACCACCTCTTCCACCACCACCTCCTCTGCCACTAACCACCTTCATCATATATGATTACTCAATGTGTGAACAGACATGTGTATAATAATTTATGATTAGAAATATATGTTGTAACGATCGAAATCAAGGTAATTACTTTTCTTCACGTTAGAATGAATTTTCTTTGCAAAATGGGTCCTTATGTACACTAGGTGTACGTAGGTGTACGCTTAGCACACTAGGGGAAGGCTGGTCGTGGGCATGCACCACGTATGCAGGGAGTACGTGGCTCAAGTCTAAAACCCTAATTCTAGGGCAAGGCCCCTATTAGGCGCTCTTATGTTTCTTGGATCTTACCCTAGACAGCCTCCATAGTCTATTATTGTCCTAAATCCCTTGATTTGCATGAGAGTGTGATCATTGAGCTTAAAAGTGTTTTGGTGGTCATTTTAGTGGGTTTACAAGAAGGAGAAGGTGGTGATCAAGTCTTGGATGTTATCGAGCTTTTAGATCCCGCACCTAATTCATCTTTAGGAACTTCTAGAGGTATAAAGTCTAGAACTTGCCATCTCTTTTTCTAGTTTGAGTTAAGGTTTGTGGTGAAGTCCATTTTTGGTTTATGGACCCTCTATTGTGAGTTGAAGCAACTCCATAGGTTAGATCTAAGCTCATTGGTCATGCTTGATGCATAGAAATGCCATCTTGAAGGTTGTATTAGGACCATGCATGAGTTTAAGGTCTTAAAAGTGGTCTTAATGGAAAAATGATGTATTGGAGTCCCATGTGGCATGCAAGGGCATAAAGTTGCCAACTTTATGCCCTAGGACATCTTAATAGTCTCAGATCTTGAGTTAGACATTGAGATCTCACGTTGTAACATCCGGAATTCCAGGTATCCCGTTTTAAGTAATTATTTTGTGCCAAGAAAAGGAACTCGACGAGTTGGCGCTTAAACTCATCGAGTAGGATCGCGATTGTTGACTGGATTTAATGAATGGAATCGACAATTCGACTAGTAGACTCGACGAGTCTGTTCTGTGGACAGAAACCCTAAAGCTTCAGGCTTGTTCCCTATTTAAAGGACCTTATGGCCCTCATTTGCATCCACCTTCACCCTTGAGAGCACCCAAGCACCTGAGAGCTTTGTGAGAAAGAGAATAAGCCGTTTTCATCATTTTAAGTGTGATTTTGAAAGAAAGAAGGAAGGAGGACAAGCTAGGAGGGTTGAGGAGCTCAGATCTACCACCATTTGATCAGAAGAGGCTGCTAGAGGGTATAAATTTGTGCTCAATCTCATTGATTTGGTGACCTACTTGAATCTAGGGTTTTCTTATGCCTTCCCTAGCTTGGATTCGAAGTATATGAGGTCCCAAGGTGGAGTTCTTCTTAGATTTGGACCTTAAGAGGTCCAGGGAGTCAAATCTACCCTGCTTTATGCTATTCCATTAGAGATATGAGCCTAGGTTGCCATTTTAGAGGCTATTTCAACAAAAGAAGCATTATGGTCGTTGCATGAGTGTAAAGGTCGTACCTTTATGTGATTATTGAGTATGGTAAGGTCAGATCTATAAGTTAGAGAAACAGATCTGACCTCAAAAGGTCATTTGAGTGTTGCCATGGATGGAACTCGCCGAGTCAATATGGGGACTCGACGAGTCGAGTCAGGGTTGCCCCGTGATTCATGACCAGAGGTAACTCGTCAAGTGGAAGGTTCACTCGACGAGTTGAGTGAGGCTTTAGAAGGATCCAGAGGACACGCTTGGACTCGCCAAGTCAACCATGTGCACTCGACGAGTCTGGTCAAAGTTTCACCATTGACTAGAGTTGACTGCCGTTGACCTTGGGGTTTTGGTCAAGCAGATTCAAGAGAGGTTAGAGAGGGGTAGAATGGTCTTCTACCCATTATTATAGATGATAACATGAGAGGATTTTGATTAGAGATGTTATTCTGTTGATAGGAGGAGGCTAGGGGTTGGGATATTCGAGCACGAGAGTTTATCCGACTTCATACGAGATGAGTCTTCTCACTATACTTTACCTAGAGTGGTAATTATGTGTGACCGGTAGGTCCTATGTGCTATGTGTAGAATACGATGTATGTTGTTATATGATATGTATGTGCTATGTTATGTTATGAGTAGTAGGGTATGGAGCGGAAGGTCATTATGATATGGACCGGAAGGTCAACAGTGTATGGACCGGAAGGTCAAGATGATGAGGACCGGAAGGTCATTATGGGTAGGACCAGAAGGACTACCAGGGTTTGTACGGAAGTCCCCTGAGACACATGGATCAGAAGGTCCCATAGAGCTATGGCCTTGAGTGGTGTATGTGTTGTATGTGGTATTTTGTGGAACTCACTAAGCATTTATGTTTACCGTGTTGTGTGATA